GTGTTTTTTTTTTTTCTTTTTTTTTTTTTTTTTTGTCTCTCCTGTGAGCACATGCACCCTTGAGCAAAAAATACACACACATATATATATACATATATATATATATATATATATATTCAAATATGTGGAAATGAGTGAGACCTCCAAGAAAGAGAGTGTTAGGCTTCTCAAACAGAGACATCATGAGCATCACTCCTTGATAATTCAAAGTTGACTGCTATACCCTTCCAGAGACTTGTGATTCAGTAGATTTGGAATGATACAGTTGTCCTAGGAATATTCTTTTTTAGTAAACACCCCCGAGTGATTCTGATGCACCTTGGGAAGCTTTATATTTTAGCACAGAGAAGTTTCAGAGACTAAATTAAGGATAACTGGTACTCTGTCAGGTTAGAGGGAAATGGGAAGGGTGAAGAACAGGGATTCAGAGCGGATTCCTTGTCAGCCAAGCCAAGGGTAGGCAGAGTTAGGGCTGAAAAGGGAGGTTGGGTAGCTGAAGTCCCAAGAATGTATCAATTAACATTGTTAAAAATGCTATAGGAGCAAAGATTCTCTTTTATTTTTTCTTTTTGGTCTTAGGAGCCTTTCACATTCATAAAAAATTATGGATTCTGAAGAATTTTTATTTTAAGTTAGTTATATCTAGTGATGAGTTGGTAAACCAGTTCTCCAAAACAAAAGCCCCCATTTGTGGTATTTCTGTTTCCATGGTGTAAACTCCCACCATGGACTATTTTAAACTGTGAACAGCTTATTTACAAACTGGCGCAAGCCAGGTCTAACACACTGCTGGATATCTATCGATATTTACCATAAAACTAATTTGATATTTAAAACTAATTAAATATTAAATAATAAAATATTAATTTCATTTAAAAATAATATTCTTCACATTTTAACATGATACATTTTAATAATAACTATTTTCTGAAACCCAAAATTTAATGATAAGAACAGAATTATTTTATTGTTTTTTTGCAAGTCTCTCTAGTATTTAGCTTAATAAGAAACAACTGGATCCTCATATCTGCTTGTGTTCAATATGTTACAATATCATTTCATCTAGTGTCTTGAAAACTCCATTGTATAGTCACTGTATACTGAGCTAAAAAGAAACGGTTCACCTTAATATTATTATGAAAATAGTTTTGACTGAACAGACATCTTGAAAGAATCTCAGATACACACATACCTACAAAGAGACACTTGGAGAACAACTGCTATTAAAAAAAAGTGGGCCACAAAACTTTATTGATTTCATATTCTATTAGTAAAAGTACAAATAATTGTTCTTTCTTTTTTTTTTCTTCCTTTTTTTTTAGAGGTTTTTTGCTATAGGGCACGTGCGCTCTCCAGACAGAGAGAGACAGAGAGATAGAAAGCGAGAAATCACCCCCCCAGGGGGGATGGCCACTCCACAATCCCTTCTCCTCCATTCTCCTCTCGGGATCTTGGGCATGCATGCACACGCGCCCGGAGTGAGTTTAAGCCACCAGGTCCGGGACTCAAACCACGATCGACTACGTGGGAGTCCAGCGACATAGCCATTACGCTAACTGCTGGTCCCCAAATAATTGTTCTTTCTACTGTATTGATAAATTATACACATTATAAAAAAATACACCAAAGAAAAAATTTTAAGGCTCAAGCTAAACACATGAATGAAAGTCAAGCATTTTTCTTCCTGCATGCCTGGTTCAAGGCCCATTAATGTGGAGGGGGCACCTGAACACAAGGCCTTTGGGTTTGGTGAGTAGAGGATAAGTATTGTCAAATTTTGAGGAAACAGTGTCCATAAATGGTGAATGTATTTATTTATTTATTTATTTATTTACTTACTTATTTATTGGAGAGGTTTTTACTATAGGGCATGTGTGCTCACCAGAAAGACAGAGAAAGACAGAGAGATAGAAAGCAAGAAATCAACCCCCAGGGGAGATGGCCATGCTGCAATCCCTTCTCCTCCATTCTCCACTCGGGATCTTGGGCACACACGCACATGTGTGAGTTTAAGCCACCGGGTCCAGAACTCAAACCACAGTCGACTACATGGGAGTTCAGTGACATAGTCATTACGCTAACTGCTGGTCCTGTGAATGTAGAAGAAATATTTACAAGGAGTGAAGGGAGTGATGGAGGATAAGGAAGTCAAGGTAAATGGCTCTCACCCTTGGTGAGGAGAAGGATGATTATTGGTTTTTGTTTTATGGTTTTTGTTTTCTTTTTGCCAGGCAAGAACTAAGCAGAAGGAATGTTTGGATCAAAACACTGTAAAAGCAGTCAGTTATCAATACCAGCATTAGTTCTTTGAATTCTCTCATAAGAGCAAAATAAGCAAAACAATCAAGTCCTTGGCAGGTACTTGGAGATATTCTGAGAACAGTGTTTTTATAACAGAGGCAGGCAATATAAATAGTTAACAATTGCATGGAGGTTTGTTTATTCTAAGTAGGTCAGAACAAGTTATTCTAATAGTTTTGAATTGATATGACCAGAGACTGGCCTATCTTTTTTCAGATAGATACTCCTCTTCACAAATAAACATATTTCCATAAGCGAGCCATTGGATTTAGCCAGCTAAATGATTAAATTATGCCCAAAGAAACATCCATTCATCTGTCTGCTTGATGTGGGGGGCAGTCTTCAAAAAGTTCATGGAAAATTAGTATTATGAAAAATTGTGCATGGATTTAAGTTTTTTAATGTGTGTCAAGATAAAACTTATATTTTAACTCCATTTTTCATTAACTCTTTTTTGAGAGTTTTTTTTTGCTATAGGCTGCATGTGCTGGCCAGAGAGACAGAGACAGAAAGCAAGGAATCATCCCCTAAGGAGGATGGCCGTGCTGTAATCCCTTCTCCTCCACTCTCCTCTCAGGATTTTGGGCATGCATATACACGTGCCTGACGTGAATTTCAAACCACTGGGTCTGGGATTCGAACTGCAGTCAACCACATGGATGTCCACCAACTTTAACCACTACACCACCTGGTGGCCCCTCCATGAACTTTTTGAAGTCCCCACATATATTTTTCTCTTCTGCAAGTATATGAGATACTCAAAATGAGAACTTTATTCTAAAGATCTATGCTCTGTTAGATACCACATAATCCCCAGAAAGGACTCGGTTGTAACATTTTAAAATGTCCAGCATGCAGAGGTATACACATTTTTGCTAGCTACTCTCAATGGCAGAGGGAATTTTCATAGCCAAAGGAAGATATATCTGTAGTAGAATTTTAGTGACTGGTAATTACCAAACCATGAAGGAGTTATCACTTCACCAACTTTGAAAAGTCCATTTTGAAGGCTTTAACATATATACATTATGATGACAACAAAAAAAATGTGTTTTATTTAGTACTTAATAAATGCTAGCAAACTTAGGGACTAACTCAGGTTGCCTCATGTAATGTTCAAGACAACCCAGCAA